TGGCTTTCGAGTTTGGAATTTTTTCGTTTATCAATTGCATTTTATCAAAAATATTATACTACTTTGAATTCCCTATAAGAATTTAGTGGCAGATGCTGAGGGTGAAAACTCCACGATTTCTTGTAGAAATGAAATAAATTTTAGGACATAATTATTAAAAAGAGTGTAGTTTTCAGTTAAATAAAATGCTCGGACGTTCTTATTTAGCGATTTAGCCTATTGGTGTTCAAACTATCAAATTCTTAGCTTCGAGCTAATTCAATTACTAAAAATTGATATATTCAAAAGTCGCGCTTACGAAAACGAAGACTACAACCAGTGATAATACCGTGTTGTAAATACTAATTGCTCCGACCAACCTCAATACACTTTAACAACACAATTCAAACAAAAAAAAATGAAATTCAGATAAATCCAGGAGTAAGTTCACTAGACATTTTACTGACACACTAAGTAATGAAAAATGTAAAGAAAAAACTAGCGTTACGTAATAAAAATGCGTAACCTTGAACATAACTTAAAACAAAATTACACGGTAGAATTACAATCAAAGCTATTAACACTTATGCCACACCAGTCTCACATACTCTTTTGTAATTATACGTTGGCACAAATACAGATTTAGAACAAATATAGAGAAACACCGGTACACTATTAACAAAACACCATATACATCACCCTCACTACTCAATTATACAATTGTACCTTCCTCGTTCGCAAGGAGGTAGAGGACTTACAGACATAAAACCATTGCACCAAACACAAATACACACAACCATACATATTCATCTTCACGGATGGATCTAAAACAAAGGAAGGAATAGACACTGGTATTTACTCCAAGAACTGAACGTCTGTATCACCGAACTGTATTCCAATTAGTGTTAGTAGGACTAACGCTTAGTCCAAGCAAAGTTCTTAAGCATAGGTAACATAAAGAACAAAACTATCAGAGCTTCCAGGGCTGCCATTCCGTGTATGAATGTGTGTAGTTGTAAAGGTCCCTGGTTCCATGTGTCGGCTATTACTTTGCTTTTTAAATATACAAGCTCTACGTCATATTAAAATTACATGTACGAATTTTTTCTTCAATTTTAAGGACTTCATTAGGTTTTGTTGGATTTAACGAACAAGTCGAATAATACAGAACGAGGACAATATTTTGTCGGCAACTTAACTCACATTAGCGTTTAAGAACCTCACGAATCGACATATTGAATCAATTTACATGCGACAAAATTGACGTAACCATTCACAAGTGTGACTAGGGCAGTAAATCAATGCAGGGATAAATTCAACACTCTTTTAAACGAGAAACATTTACTTGAGTGAAGCTTCAACCAAAATGGAGGGTGAACGTATCGCCGAGAAAAATATTCAATCATAAAATTAATCAGTGTAAACAGGTAGTTGAACGACTTGCATTGGAAAACGAAAAATAACTTGAAAGTTGAAAGGAAAAAACCTAAGAAGTCTGGAAGAGCTATCCTGTATATCACAGAATTAGATAAATCTCAAAGGCATGTTGAATTATAAATTAGACTACTGGATTTATTAAATTTATAGCAGCTAAAACAAATCGTAATGGAAAGTTTACGTACATTCGGGTGCTTCTCTAGAATATTAGAATACTCCTAAAATATTGCGAAACTCACAGATAATCCCTATAATAACAATAGCAATGAAGTTTAATTTTGGTAGATAAATAAAATCCAATTATTTTCAGCCTTGCCTTTCAGTCTGGGTTTTGAAGTGAGGACAAAGTAGGTTCCGCAACGTTATTCAGCATAATTGGTGAATTGCTATTAGTCTGAAAGTGTGAGTCCAACAGTCGCAGTTGGGCTAAGTAGATTCCTTGCCATCTTCATTAATCATTCTCCTCTCTCAATTCCATTTTATCCTTAAAGCTATCAACAGAAATAAGCACTGAAGACAGACGAATTATTGCAAATACACTTTATTACTCTCTAATGAAATTAACATAATTCCTCACTCCGTCGTTGCTTTTCTTTTTGATTGATTACAAGAAACTTAATTATGTTCGAGGGATTAAGCACAATTTTGTTGCGATATTAAATATTTCAAGTAATTTTGAACATATACGATATAACAGAGTTAAAGTGGTCCGTCAGTTTTAACCCTCATCAAATTTTCGTTAGAACGACAAATATTTCATACGAGACCTTTAATGTTCAGACAACGGAATTTTACCAACGCCATTTTACAAGATTCCCGTCAATAAAACAAAGTAAGTGAGCTTCAGCTATGAGCATAATATCACTCGGGGCAATCTTTAATTTCGTGGCTTATCCATCAGATTCTTATCACTTCGTCAAACTTTACAACTCGAGCAAATCGATATTGATTTTTCAACTACGTGTGGATGTTATCTACCCTGTTCCTGACAGGAAATAGGCCATCTCTTTTGTGATTATGCAGTATGGTACTTTCAACGTACACATTACGTATATACAGGGTGGAAACTTTGTATGGAATACATCAGACCACTATTTTGTTGTGACCACACACTGACCACAAATCTAAAGTAAGTAGATTGGTAACAAACTTTTTATAATTTTGGATATCATAAACACTTTCTTTAAAAAGAAGATATATTCAGCGTTCCAGGCAAAAACCCTGTATATAGGGCGATTCGCAAGTAGTAAGCAGCAGAATCTTCGAATTTAGTTACAAATCCTGGAAACAGTCAGGGTGGTGGAGAATTTGTACGCGGCTCGTATACTTCACTGGTCGCTCGCCTTCATTTTCGCCTTGGGCGAGGATTGCCCCAATAGCGTATTGGGTGGCGTCTGTCATGATAACGAACGAAAGTTGTGGATCAGCTTGTAATATAGGCGAGCTGGTTAGAAGCGTTTTGACTGCTTTAAAGGCGTCTTTGTTGGGTCTGTGCCGATGCCTTCGGGTGTGATTATGTGTCCCAGGTATCGCATCTGCTCCCTTACGAAATGATATTTCTTCCACCGGGTCCTCAGGTTACACGGGCACAGACGAGTGAGGACGGCGATGAGGTCGTGCAGATGGGTCGTAAAATCCTTTGATAGCACGATTATGTCGTCCAAATAGGCGTGTATTGTGATGCCGACTAGCTGGGCCTTTACGTGATCTACGAGGCGCTAGAAGGTCACTGGGGCATTCCGTAGCCTAAATAGCATTCTTTTATAACGTTATAACAGTTTATCTCTGTCGGCGTTGTCGGCCGGAAGGTCCATAGTAGATTCTATGGTTACTTTCGTAATT